CACTCCTCGTGCTGTCTCATCATCCCGCACTGCTAGAATTACCCGTTCTCAGGAATTGCTCGGCCTGGTACTGCCCCATGCCAGATTGTATTTTGGCTATCACTCTGTATCTTATCTTGGAGCTGACCGATGGAACGCCCTCCCTGCCGCGATTCGCAACATATCCCTACCTGCTGCATTTCGCTCCGCTATCTTCACGTGGCTAGGGCACCCTGTAAGAAGACCATAGGTCTGTGGGGACTGCCCTAGTAAAATATGAATAAATAATAATAATAATAATAATAATAATAATAATAATAATGGCTGGGGTAGCTAATGACCACTTTGCGTGGCGATTGGCAAAGTGCACTTTGCGTCTGTCTCCATGGTTACCGGTGTTCATTTCAAAATTATAGCCACTTCTCCTTGTTAGACCTTATCTGGAAGGCCCATTCTTGCATATTCCAACAGCAGCCAAGGGAGCTAGCTCTCTTGCGAGTCTTGGTTATGCGGACTGGGTCCGATCCTAAAAAGCTGTTTTTATGAACTGTTTTTATTGGATATGTTAGGTTCACGATTTCACATATGCACGCACTCGCACACTCGTACGCACTCGCACCCTCGAACTCACCTTTACAGGCGCGCACTCACTTTCACTCTCGTACTCACCTTTTCAGGCGCGCACTCACTTTCACTCTCGTACTCACCTTTTCAGGCGCGCACTCACTTTCACTCTCGTACTCACCTTTACAGGCGCGAACTCACCTTTTCGGGCGCGCATTCACTTTCACTCTCGTACTCACCTTTTCAGGCGCGAACTTACCTTTACTCTCGTACTCACCTTTACAGGCGCGAACTCACCTTTTCGGGCGCGCACTCACATTCACTCTCGTACTCACCTTTTCAGGCGCGCACTCGACGTACTCACCTTCACAGCCTCGTACTCGCCCTTGTTGCTTTTCCTACAGTGCGTTTTTTTAAAACAGACATTTGTCGATTTTGATTTTTTAGTTTGTTCTCATTCCAAATTTGAATTTTTTTCTTCACAGCTGCGTTTGTGTGGGTCTTGGATCGAAGAAAATTAAGTTTGGGAATCGGAATAATAATAATTGTCAAAGTTAGATATTCGGACGGGTTTGGGCTGAAAATCCGGTTTTAAATGGTTTTCAGTGGATTTTGATTTTAAAACGAAAGTTTTAGCCAGGAAAGCTCATCACGTGCATGGTGTCCGCCAGAGTTCGAATCCAGTACAGACTCAGTTCATCCTGATTCTTTTTTTCTCCTCTTTTTTGGTACAGCGCATGCATGTACACGTACATGACTACAAGTAGACTGTGCAGTTGTGCACTGCTGTCTGCAGTTCTCCTAACCTTTGTAGGAAACCAGGGAGTCGTGGCTTTTCACGACTTACTGTGGCAAACTGTACTGAATAATTCAAATGCTGTATTGCAATTAGCTCAATAAATCAAAACATTCCAGCATGCATGTAGGAAACTTCCCTCGATCCCTGAAAGAATGCAGTGAAAATTCAAACACCACAACAAATCACAAGGGCAATTCACACAGCACCCATAAAGAGACTAAAAGGAGGCAATACATGAGCGGTTTTACAAACACACACACACACACACACACACACACACACACACACACACACACACACACACAAACACACACACACAATGCAAATAGGTCACAGTTGTGTCTGGTTCAACATCTGCGAATAGTAGAAGACCAGCGAGCGTCGAAACGGCCCCAATAATTCCGTGTTTTGTGTTGCACTTGTGACGACAGTATTACACAGTGAACAGATGTGCTAGGACAGCCGACGACGTATATCATCGTTGGCGTCGGCCTCGTCGGTCTACAGTCACGAACACATCGGCGCAGTTTTTCACGAATCCATCCCGTCCACCAGTATGCAGAACAATAACGCGCTTGCCTTTACCTGATGGTGCTTCATTTGGTTGCTTGCCTATACACTCCTGTCACCATTGTCGGACCACCTCCTAGTAACTGTGTGACGCGCATTGACCCACGTGTCATCCAGGTATGTCTCACAGGTAGCGATGCCGCCATGACACAATCCCGTGCCGTTCCATCATCATGTGTGTGATACCTCTGGTCTTGCCACACTGGAATCCCATGGAACGCAACATTTTCCAAGAGCTAGTTTTGCTCATGTCTGGAAAATCGTCGATGCTTTCTATGCAGCGAGCAGGAACTTTGTCCAGTGTTGGGTGCTCCTTCGCAGCATAGAATCCGTAAATTACTTCTTATCCAGTCCAAAGCAAATCCGTCAGGGTCGAGTGGTTTTATGGCACGAGTCTCACATTGGGGATTGTCACTCTCGTTACCTTCATCACTGGAGACAGACAAGGCCAACGCAGCACGCTGATTTTCGCCGTCAGCATCCCTGGTACATCTGTTCATAGTGGAAATGCTGACGCCACACGCAACAGCAGCATGACGAATGGAATACTTGGGACCAATTCGATGCCCTAGCCACTGTTCTCCTCGTCTTCGCAAAAATTGTAAAACAGACACCACCATGTAGATTCTACCATGGCCCGTTCGCGCTTTGTTATATGTGGCATGTCGAGAGAACAAGTAAGTTGCCACGAACGAAAAGACACTCGAGAAAAAGCAAAATAGGGTCACAGAGCAGTCAGCAACAAAATGATTCCTCCGGCCACGAGGAGCTCGAAGGACACTCTGAACAAAATGGCGAAATGCCACGAGTCACACCTGGTTTTCGAATTTCGCGCGCAGATTTTCGTGACGCAACTCGCATGACATTTTCTCAAAAGTGGCCTTGAGTACGTTCTCAAGGATTTCAGAGTCTATTATAAAAAAACGCACTGTAATCTTTTCTTTCTTTGGCCTGGGTAGCTGGATTCGCGCTTTAGCACATTTATCTCCATAGCTACCCAGGCCCTAGATAAGCTCTTGCTGGAACATTTGCCTTGTCTTGCCTTGCGCTTCCCTTGCCTTGTCTAGTTAGTCAGTCTTGTTTGTCAGTCTATCGGACTTCTGAGATTCTCTTCCCTTGTCGTTGTCGACTGGAAACTGTTGATCCGCTCGTCCTATTGTGACTGTGCCTGATCGTAACAGATAGGATATGATTATGTTGAATAAACGAGGTTTGTGTCAATGGGAGATTGACTTGGAGTTTTTACGAGTTGATTCTAAGTATACAATAAATGAGGAGGCCGAGGCCGGTTGATGACCTATAAAAACTATTATAAAAACCGAGGTCCCCCGAGTTTTTTAAACCCAAGGCTGGAGCATTTATTGTATTAAATTTTAGAATCAACCAGTAAAAACTCCTTCTCAATGGCCAACAACAAAATATTAATTAGTGGACAGCTGTTATTTGTGTTTCTATGACAACTCGTGTGCTGGACGAGTATTTGTTGTCATTGGTTCAATTTCCTCGCTTGTAGTTGTTTAGGTTTGCAGATGAAATTCAAGTTTTTTGACAGTACAAGTTTACGTGACAACATTAACAACATACGAGTTATTTCCAAGCGGTACTGATGAAGGTAACCAACGTGTAGCAAAATTGAATCAGTTGCTCAGGTTTGTAGATGAAATTCAAGTTTTCTTGACCAGTACTAGTTTACGTGACAACATCAACAACAAACAAGTTAAAGGGGAAGTTAAGGCAAGAATCAAAATTTCACCAGTTGTAGTCTTCGGGGTGCTGAGTCGAATGGTCTTGGTTCGAGGAAGCCGAGACGCTCCCTTCCTACTTGAATCCCAATCGAACTCGCGCACTTCCACCGAAACTGGGTGACTGCGCCCTACTAGATGGGGATTTGTATGCAAAATGTCACTAAAAGCGCCATTTCGTTCTTATAAAAGCACAGATGACCGCGATTGGCCCATATGTTGTAGTCTTCTAGACGCTGAGTCGACTAGTTATGGTCCGAAAAGGCTGCGATGCAGCGTTCGGCCCTTATTCCCAATCGAACGTGGTTGAACAAGCGGTCACGTGCTCCTGGGTGCCCAAATCACCTGGTCACCACGCCAGCAGGCGACAACTTTCACACCAAGGTTCAACTCGAGTGACAGGACTGCACCCAAAAAAGGTCAAACAGGCTAGTAAGTTGTACCCTGCAGGCACGGTGACCAGCTGACTGGTGTACGCAGGAGCACGTGACCGCTTGTTCAACCATGTTCGATTGGGAATAAAGGAGGAACGCTGCATCGCAGCCTTTTCGGACCAAAATCAGTCGACTCAGCGTCCAAAAGACTACAACATATTGGCCAATCGCGGTCATCCGTGCTTTTATAAGAACAAAATGGCGCTTTTAGTGACATTTTGCATACAAGTCCCCATCTAGTAGGGCGCAGTCACCCAGTTTCGGTGGAAGTGCGCGAGTTCGATTGGGATTCAAGTAGGAAGGGAGCGTCTCAGCTTTCTCGGACCAAGACCATTCGACTCAGCACCCCGAAGACTACAACTGGTGAAATTTTTGATTTTTTCCTTAACTTCCCCTTTAACGAGTGGAGGTTACCAACGTGTAGCCGGGGTGTTCTGACGTGGTGAAGGCCTACCCATGGCCATGCCGGGACATCACCAACCCCATCTATAGAGAGCACCTTCTCGCGACAGTGTCATGGTGGTGGCAGTAACTGTTGACAGCTGACGAGCTGAGAGAAGGATGCCATGGGCAGAAGTTGGAAGAAAAGAAGTTGAGGTTTAAGTAGCTACATGACTACCAGGACGACCTCCAGGAGCGATCAAAGAATACACGACGGACGTCAGGAGTAGTCTCCTACCACCCTAGCATAATGAGGGTCAGAACCGGGTGCGACACCCATATGGTTCAAATGGTCCGCAGGGACCGGGGCTCTGCCAACCGCGGAAGGTTGTAGTAAGGTCACTGTTTCCTAACACAGTGTTCTCCACCTTGCTTCATGCTGTCAATCTAACAATATGAGTGTACATACGTGTACAATGTACATACTGTCATTCTGCTAGCTCCACTCAATACCATTGCCCAAGTAATAAGTTCAACATATTGAGCAAGTACAGGCAGCCATATTCCCCATGCACTAATGAGGTGTTCCTCATTGTGATAATTCATATCCACGATAACCGTGTGATGCCGCCAAACACAGCGATCCGGAAAAAAGAAAGAAAAAAACAATACCTGTACCGTACAAGTCCATATAATACGTCGGTACAAACTACTTGCAATACGAGTACCTCTCCATATACCTATTCTCAGGCAATGCAACTTTCTGAGGTGAACGTGTGTGCCGCTGAGTACGTTTTCCTCAGTTAGTCAGAAATTCTATGTTGACTACAAGTGTGCAAGAACACAGGCTAATCTCTAGAGCGAAAACAAAATAATAAGCTCTGCTAAAAGGAAACGCGAGTCAAAGACATCATAATATTAATAATTATAGTATTGAAGCTCGAAACATACAGCACACTTGAACTTCTGGAAGCTTTTAATTAAAAAGTACGTAAGACGCGGAGAAACGGGCAAAAAACTTTAAAACTCAGTAGACTCACAGTAAAGAGTGCACTCAACGTACTGTGTAGACCCACAGAATCATACCGGTAATAATTTTAAAAAATTATCAAGATGCCACCAGGTAGGTCTTCAGCACAGCTGAGCAGCTCCAAATGTATCTCAAAAGGCATCACGTGTCCGTGCAACAAAGCATACAGTATAGACAGCAAATACAAACTGGCAGTGCAGTGCAGTGTGGATTTTATCATACTCTAACTTGCATCGTCAACCATTTCACTAGGAGAATATTCTTGCAAAATACAGGATAAAGTAAAGTTAAATTCATTCTTATCTACACCAGTTAGAATGCCAGCCAAGAGCTCAAGACGGCATAAAAGAAACATATCTAACAATACGACCGTTCAGTAGAGTGATGGTCTGCACACACCATCCACTGATACAGCTCGTTGTGGGTACATAGCAGCTCACGCCAGGTCCACCAGCAGAGTAACCTTCACAGACCCTACAGGGACAAAGCATACACAAAGAGACCGTCATAAATGCACTGAATCCTGAAACAACTCACACACTAAACCTCATGTTGCTGGCTCCAAACCGTGATACCATTCTATGGAATACATTTTTCACCATTAACTTCGTTCAAACATTCTCTGTGAGTCTCTCAGTTTACATTTTCATACTGCACTGTCATATTGCCAGCCATACTGGATCTCTGGCAAAGCGGACAGAGAGCACACGGTTAAAGGGGAATCATGGGAACATTGAACCGGTTTCTTTGCCTCACGACATGACCGTGAACAGTTGCTAGTTCGGTGTACTCTCTACATGGCAAAACTCGTTGAAAGAACCCTACAGGAATCAGGAAGGGAGTGAGACACTAGAAACCCACAAGCAACGACTAAAGGATAGAGAAGCGAAACATCTAAGCCCACACGGAACGACGAAACATGATGGGTTCAATGTGATACAATTTATTAATCACGACAATATTTCCTTCATATTGTGACACACATAGAGCTTTGTTACGTACAATCAGATGGGCACTTCACTGGTTGAAGACTACACGATCATGGAAACGAGTGACACTGGCCAAAGCCTAGAAAAAAACGCACCCCTCTGTCTTGATAGCATCATAATTTGACTAGTCCTGGGTATGAACACCATCGCGTTACATATCACTCGACAGAACAGGGATGTTGTAACAAAAGGTTGCAGGCTACTGGCACCGACATGGAGAATGTGACCTCACTGCTCCCCGAGCGTGTTTCCCTCAAAACTACTTGTATTTATCTGCCTGAGCTATGACATCGTCCTGACCAAGCGAACAACAATGTAGCCGCGAAAATCTGTTCACAGGTGGAGCCCGTGATTAAACAAAATTTGCAAAGATTCAGCTAGACACCGAGCATTCTACATCCGTAGGAACGCCACCACCCTCAAGGATCAAGGCGTAGATGCATCTCCTAAAACGCCGGGAGGTGAATAGTTCAGACCCAGCACCAAATGGGTCAAAGACCAAAAATCACATTGGCTGCACCCGATTAACAGCAGAGCAAATGGATAGAGGAAAGCAGCAGTAGATGTTATCAACTTACGGAGGACAGTTTCCACAGCTTTTCCTTCAGTAGGTCCACAAGCTCCTGGTGGGCCCGCTTCTCGCTCTCCTTGAGAGCGGAAACAAACAGGTGGAAGGCCTGTGCGCCGCAGCGTGGCAGTGCTTCCAAGAAGACAGTGACCTAACACAAAACGTTCCAAAACAAACACAACATTGATTGCTATCCATTATCCTACAGCACATCACTGTCTCATCACTACTTTTGCCCAGACATGTGAAGACCGGGAAAGAATGTTTCAGGCTGTACACACAAACTATCAAGCTTGTGTGTTATCTGCCATTGGCCACTTTCGTACAAATTACCGAGACTTTGTGGCTTGAAATTCCAAAAGAAACTTTACATTTCCAGCCATCATGGTACAGTAAAGCCATTACCTGTAAAGGCAACCACTCGGAAAAAGCCATTACCTGTAACGGCAACCACTCGGATAAAGCCATTACCTGTAACGGCAACCACTCGGATAAAGCCATTACCTGTAACGGCAACCACTTGGATAAAGCCATCACCTTTCCTAGTAGACCGCTACAACCAGGACAAAGGGATGCTATTTCTAGTCACATGACCCTGGATGAAGGAGACCACCTGGTAACAGAGACCATATGTTTTGAAGGTCTCGTGAGCAGTCGTCTTGGACAGGCTTCACTGTAATTCCAATGTGTTCAATAAAAGTGGTGATACTGTTTCTGATTTGTAAAGTTCCTGAAATGTAAATGTTCACCAAAATGTATAAATGAAACTACCATGTGACACTCAGAGTGACTACTTTGTAGCTTTTGAGCAAACTTCCACCAGTAATTCCATGAGAAGCCATTATACACTAACGCATAAGTTACCTGGTCATCACGATCATCCATAGCACGGAGTTTCTTGCAGAAGCGTTGGGTGATGATGCTCTCTGCATAGAGACGGTCCAGAATACCCTCTTCTATGTCCAAACTACACTTCAACTCCACATAGCTTGAACGGAGTACTTCCTGGTGAAGCTCAGACATCTACAGTGGACATGAAGATAGATTCACAAAGGTATTATACGGTTCACGAAATCACGGAACTGGTTTGTGAAATTTCTGAGTGTTGGTAATGGTTGTAAAGCAATTTGTTTGTCTTTCTTGCTTTAGCTATTCAGTTTGGAGAAAAGCCCGTTAGGTAATCTCATCATGTATATCCGTGCTCAGAAAACCGGAGTTATTGTAAGTTCACAGTTCTGTGTGTATGCTGATGAATGGTCTTGGCCTCAATATGATAAGTCTCCAAACACAGGTGACGTTGCTGTTTCGAAACACACTGGCTTCTAAGGTATTCTTCACTATACAATCACCAAACAAAATTTTAGAGTAGAGTACAGAGCAAAGTTCTTACCCCAGTCTCAAGTTGACCACTCTTGACATTACCAGTCTGGGAGCCATCAACACCAGTCTGCATGGACAGTGTCTTGTCACTGGAACACATTGGTGCAGGATGCAAGTCATCGTAACCTAGTGAACACTGCTTGGGACCAGGACACGCACGGAATGTCTCCACGAGATGTGAAAGTCCTTGGGACGGCAGGATACTCTCCACAAAGAAGCACATTCCATCATCGGGGAGCTTCTCCAGAAGAGTACACATGTGATCTAGTGTCTCATCTTGCCCTGCTGATTTAAGCATGGCTCTGGTTTCCATTACGACTTCGGTACTCAGGTAACCTTCTGCGCGCAATCGCTTAACACAGTTCATCACATTGATCGCTAAGCTACTCTGTACTGCAGCATAATGCTTGCACAGTGCTTGCTGGTAGGATGCAGCTCTCTTTGACACAGCGGGCTTCTGGGCTGTTGCTGCAACTTCTACAGTTCAGAGAACAAAGGAGCACACAATGGCAAACAGTAAGTGCATGGAGAAGGCTACAAACGTAACATTAGAGAGGTTGCGCACAATGAAAATTCGTAAGATCTTGACCGCACGGGTTCGAATAACGAAAGCTGTTACGAAAATTCGTCCAAACGCGACAGGATCACAGATCCACGAAAATATCCTTCGTCAAGTGGAGTACTAAGATATTAGACACCCTTAGCAAACAACGGTAATGCTACTCGTACCTTGATCTCCAAAATAGCGTTGAAGCTGCAGCGTAAAAACGCTAGGGGGAGGATTTATCGTTGTGACAAACGGTACGTATTTTGACCAAATATTGCATAGTCCGGACGCATTTCACCTTGTATCGCGTATATGGTGACATAGATGGTTGTACTGCGCGGAATAAACTTGAGCTATTCTTGTGGCAACAGCGTACTAAAAATAGCACGCCATAGTGAGCGGTACGTTGTGCGGGTGTCTGCGTGTCAGAGCATGGGTACACCAGTGGCGTGTGCGTGCATGTGTGCGCTTGTGTCTGTCTGCATGGGTGCACGAGTGCCCAAGCTGGGCGTGCGGGTGCACTTGGAGGGGCTTGCATGTTGACGGGTGCAGGGGCTAAATGTGGACTTTGCGCAGCAAAGCCTAGTTAGCCCATGCACACGCATGCTGGTGGTGGAGTGCTGCGAGTGCGTGTCACGTGACCACCTCGTGACTAAGCCGCGTGCGCTGTGTGTGGCCTGGCAAAATTTTATGGACAATCGTGAATCCGGCGTCTAATTATTTGGAGACGTGTTTTGCTGAGCTGTCTTTGTGCGAAGGAGCGTTCTTTGCAGTTGCAGTTTCTGTGGCAAATCAAAGTTTTTTCCCTCCCTCCCACCCCTTTTGAAGTGGCATTTTGTTTCTCCGGTTGTGGGGGGGGGGGGGGGGCAAACGGGCCTCCTATTATGTCTGTATGTTGTGACGCCTGATGCTGTGGAAACGTAGGTGATGACAGTCATGGCGAGCGAAACTGAAATACCACTTCTCCGAGGGGATATTGGGCTGCTTGGCCTCTCTACCAATTTGGCACTAAGTGAGTTGGAGAGCGATAGAGAGCGATAAAACGGAGCAGCGAGCCCACATAATGAGCAAGTGAACAAGGAGCTGCTCCGATCGCACGGCTCAATGAAAACTAATTCTGAACTCAAGTTCTTGTTCAAACTGCGCAAAGCCCAGATTCGAATGCTGATGACCATGCATTCTTTCAGAAGTCTGCAGTCCGATGCGAGTCTCATGGCTAAAGAAAGTCGACTGGACTTGCTAGCCGCTGCCGTTCAGTGCTGGCAGGGGTATCCATTAGAGAAAATGGAATCAGTTTGGCTGTGCCTTTACTCCTCGTTTCCCGGAGTTCTGGAGAGCGAAGATGAAACTAGGGAGTCGTAAAATATTTTTCACGACTCCCTCGTGGAAACGAGTAATCGCCATCGCGGCGGATCACGCAGCTTGAAAGCCAACTTACTTGAATGACGGCGACATCAAGGTCAGCGGAATGTGATCAAAGAAGCCGAGGCAAGGCTGAAACGAGCTGAACAACGACTCGAGAGAGATGACGACTCGCGTGCAGCAGATGACGACAGCGACGCAGGTCAAAAATGAGTAGAGCGAAAGCGACGCAAACTGAACTCTCTGCTCTTTCCTCCAACAGTTTCTCTTGTAAAGACGCTGTACATAGGCCGATTCACCTTCGTCTAGTGATTTGCAGTCGATACAAACTGTTCTTGACCTGTTCTAAGCGTTTTCATATCCATCAAAATCCATCACGAAGTTTTTGTTAACAGAGGAAGTAGTTTACCCCTCGGCGGGCGGTTTGCTGGCCTCGGCGGCCATGTGTGCGCCCTCGGTGGGCAGTATGCTAGTTTAGCCCTCGGCAGGCGGTTTGCTGGCCTCGGCGGCCATTTGCGCGCCCTCGGTGGGCAGTAGGCTAGTTTAGCCATTCGGGCGCCCTCGGTGGGCAGTATGCTAGTTTAGCCCGCGGCGGGCCGCGGTGGCCATTTGTGCGCCCTTGGCGGGCGGATGCTAGTTTCAGGCATGCATCTTTGCTCAATCAATTATTATCAAAGAGCATATTCTTGAATATTTGAATTGTCCAAAAGAAATCATGGCAACCCCCAACCCAGTGTGTCTATTGTATGTTTGTGCACGCCATAGTGAGCGGTACGTTGTGCGGGTTTCCGCGTGTCAGAGCATGGGTACACCAGTGGCGTGTGCGTGCATGTGTGCGCTTGTGTCTGTCTGCATGGGTGCACGAGTGCCCAAGCTGGGCGTGCGGGTGCACTTGGAGGGGCTTGCATGTTGACGGGTGCAGGGACTAAATAACTTTTTTGCTAAGGGTGTCTAATGATATTTTACCACTCCCTGTCTAGACTCTTCGTGACCCGTGTCGACCTACAACGAAAAAGCTCACACGTTTTGCGCAACCTCAGGGTTTACAAATATTCGTTAGCATTTTTTTGCTAAAATATTTTGTTACGGCGCTACGAATTTTCGTTGTGCGCCACCTCTCTATTCTCTCCTCTCCATTTCTCCTTAGCAGGACCACTGCTCCAGAACAATATGGGTGTCATCTATCCTCACACATCACATTCAAATCATAAGGACCAGGAACAGCAAATAATTCACACCTTCCAGTGACTCAAATTTCTCAATTTTATCACAGATATTTGCTGGCATTGGTTGATAAAATGATCAGCTGTAGCACCTACTCCACTTTTACGTTTATGTATCTATGTCATTCGCATCTTCCCAAGTTGAACATTGTACTGTTGAGATATCGAATTCAAATAAATCAATACCATACCATATGTGAGCATGGAGAGGTGAAGATAAAGATATCACGGCACTAAGTTTTTTACAGATGGTCATTGTCATGGCAACAAGATTCGACATGACAAGCGCTTGTAGGGTTGCTTGCTAGGCTGTGATGCTGGTGGAAACCAGTACTCGACCTATCGTGTTTGGCCAGAACTCCGAGTACAGCCCGAGCTGCATGCACTATAGATCAAAGGCGGACGACAGCAGTGTCGATATTTTTGAACATGGCAATAATTTCTGCTGCATCAATTCATCCAGAAAACCAGGACCCAATTCAAATCGCTAAATTCCCAATTCCGTACTTGACTCCGTGAACACTCATCCCGTGCACACATCCTTCATTCTAGTGACCCCGCGCAAATGACTTCCCGTGTATCCTTTTCCCATCAATCACCCTGTACTCTAATGACCCTGTACTCATACTATATTGTCTTGTATACAAGACTTTTTTTTAAAACAAATGTTACAGACCCTTGCACATGAATTCACAATTATTGTATTTGCTCGTTCGAATTTATTTGTATTTTGTCTCTCTCACCTTTCACTATTCCTGAGTTGATCACGTACCTGCGTGCTCCACTCTGCTGCAGTTAGAGGCAGCTACTCTACATGCAGTCGAGTCGATTCTATTGTGTATCTGCATGTCTCCTTGACGATATCTGTCCAGCTCTAAATAATTAGAATTAACACTCTTCTCTCTCTCGCTTCTTCTCTTCAATTTATTTATTTTCGCTTCTCTCAGTTATTTTTGTTTTGTTTGTACTTTGTACGCTATCGCTCTATCTGCATGACGCAATGCAGTTTATGTATGTCGTCACTCCTTGGGGCGCCGTGCCTGCACCTTTGGGGCGCAGTGCACCGGATGTGCAGTGACCTCTACGATGTACGCCAGAGCTAGGATCTTTTTGGCTGCATGTTTCCTTTTGCGCGGCCAGCTTTTCTGCTTGAGGCTACATGTATGCGTGTCACGCTTTGCTTTTCAGAACTCTTTGAGATTCAGTTTTATTCCACTTTGTAAAGAACAAGTAATGGTTCGAAGGAAATCTTGTCTACCATGGCCACAGGGCCGCAACATGGTCCTTCGAGCCGGATGAGCAGTTCTAAAGAAATATACAGTCTTCAGATTACAGAAACACAGCAATGTTGCTGCGAAATCGTAGAGGTAAGGGCGAAGCGGATATGGCCGATGTCGCCGAGCAGGCTGCTGAGCTGGAGTTGCCAGCATCCCCTGCTTCACTCGCCTCATCGATGAGATCGTCCTCCTCCGTGAAACGGCAAAAAGCGGAGGCCAATTTGGAGATGGCACGACGTTTGATGGCAATTGAGGAGGCGGATGCGCAAGAACGACTGGACAGGCAGAGGCGTTTGCTTGAATTGGAGTTGGAGGCGCGCCATGCCCAAATCGAAAACACCTCGTCCTCTCGTTCGCGACGATCGTCTCGTCCTGCATCCAGTGCGCCTACTCAGCATTTGAGGCCGTTGTTGGCATCGTCGACTACCCGATCAGCAGCGTCGTTGATCAGCTCTGGCCAGGAGAATAAAGTAGAAGTAAGCTCATCTCAGCCCCGATTAGAAACAGTGTGTAAACTTCCGGGAAAGTCCGCCTTGACAGCTACTAGGCATTGGGTAGAGACCCAGAAACCCGTCACTGCACACGCCACATTTGCGCCAGTTGCGGCAGGGACAACAGCAACAAAGCCAGCTCAGGAGAGTCCTGAGGCTGGAGGCCTGCACCCAGCGCAAGCAGCAAACGACATGCAGAAGTTTCTGATCCGACAGACGGTTGGTCGTGACTTGCCGGCATTCTCTGGCGACTCGGAGGAGTGGCCCATATTCGCCTCGACCTACCAGAGGACGTCAGACGAGTGTGGGTTTTCGCCATCAGAAAATGTAATTCGTCTGCAACGTTGCCTAAAAGGCCCAGCCAAGGCTGCAGTCGGAGCGATGCTCACCGTGCCGGAGAACCTGCCGACCGTACTCCAGGTCTTGGAAAGCCGGTTTGGTCGACCGGATGCTGTGATTGCTGCCATGATCGGGAAAGCCAAGGCCATTGGACAGGTCAAGCCAGGAGACTTTGATAGTCTTATCAACCTGTCCACTGCTGTGACGACTCTAGTTACTACCATGGAGCACCTTCGAA